CCCTTAACTTCTTCTCCTTCTTTAACATCTTTCGGTCATCTTCTTCCTCTTCTTGTTCCTTTTCTTCTTTCTTTCTTTCTTTCTTTCTTTCTTTCTTTCTTTCTCTCTTCTTATTCTTGTTCTTCTTCTTCTCCTCCTCCTCCTCCTCCTCCTTTGCATTCAAATCTGATCCAACGCCTCCCTTTTTTCTTCTTCTATTTTTTTGTTTTGAATTATTTTTTCTTCTTCTATTATAATTATTATTTTTTATTAAATTTTATTATTATTATTATAAAAAAATTAATTACTAGTTTTACTATTCTAATTTTTCGAAAAAATAGAAGTACTATTATTATTACTTCATATTTATTACTATTTTATTCTTATTCTATTATTATTATTAATTTTATTTAATATTATTACTATTATTAATAAAAACTAATTATTAGTTTCACTACTCTTTTTTCAAAAAATAACAATAGTTGTTATTTAGAAAAATTGCACCTCTTATAATAGTACTTTATTTTTACTTTGTATTATTTATTATCTATTTCTTAATATTTTCTTTCTCTTCTATCATTTTTATTTATTATTATTAAAAATTAACTAGTAGTTTTATTACTCTATTATTAAGAAAATAACACTAATTATTATTTAAAGTAACACTTATTATTTTCATTATTAAAAAATTATTGGTAGTTTTACTACTCTAATTCTTTTGACATTTGATGTTGTCTTTCGCATTAGTCATGCAATAGCCATCGGCAACCGTCATTGGTAGTAGTGAATGCCGAAAATGAGAGGACTTGAAACGAGAATAATACGTGTAAGTGCCTCTAGATTTTTTTTAAAGATAATATGAAATGATAAAAATAGTGTTAAATTTCATTTTATTATTATTATGAATTACGACGTATAATTTATAACCAAGTGAATAAATAATCTTAATTTTATAAACTATACATAAATAAATTACTAAAACTAATTTTCAATCAAAGCTTAAAAATATTTTAACTTTTTTTACGCAAGTGAATATTGGAAAAAAGTAAATGGGGGCATACACAAAATTTTTATGGGGCCTTAGTAAAACTACTATTTAAATAACATAATAAATATATAAATAAATAATGATGATGAGGATAATAATAATAATAACAAATACTTACAAATAATAAAATAATGCTCTATAATATCTAACAAGAACCACAACAACAACAACAACAACAACAATAATAATAATAATAATAATAATAATAATAATAATAATAGTAATAATAATAGAAGAAGAAGAAGAAGAGAAAAAAATAGAAAAAGAAAAAAAGGGAAGCGATGGAGGGCTGGATGAGATGGGAGGGTGTAGAAGAAAAGAAGGATGAGAAGAAGAAGAAGAAGAAAGAAAGAAAAGAAGAAAGAAGGCCAAAAGAGGGTGAAGAAGAATAAAAGGTTAACGGAAAATGGAAACTGGCGGAGAGAATGAGGTGATGTAACACCCTAATCCGTCCAGGTCTGCAGCCCCTTTCGGACTAAAGTATTAACTTGGTAATCGTAAAATTTAAAACTTTTCAAACACTTTTATTTATCACGATAATATTTTTCATAACATATATAGTGCGGAGTTTTCAATATTGCGGAAGCTTAACAAATCATAATTACAAACATAATTTATTTATGTTCTTTAATTCAAAACCATCACATCCATTCCGACAATCTCGCCTCCGTCAGCCTCCAGAATCACATCACATCATTCTTTCTATTAACCTGCGTGTAGCAAATAAAACATACTACACGCTCAGCGGTGAAGCTGAGTAAGCATATCTAAAGCGTCAAACATCCATATAAATTGAACCCAAATTCATAATCAAATCATTTGATATCATGCACAAAGTATTCAGTTCAAATATACAATAATCAATATTCAACATTCGTCATTCAATATTCATATTCAACATTCAACATCCTCATTCAATAATATCCTTAAACTATTCTTAGTCTAAGGCCAATCTTTTTAATGTTTACCAACTCTTAAACTAGTTCTAGTTTAAGGTACTTCTATCCAACTCTTAAACTAATTCTAGTTTTAATGTACTTTTATCCAACTCTTAAACTTATTAGAGTTTAAGGTACTTCTAACCAACTCTTAAGCTAGGTCATTAGTTTAAGGTACATATATTCCGATTGATTTACCAACTCTTAAACTAGCCTT